TGGGGAGGGGATGCAGGAATGATCTTGGTGTGTAAGGGATGGGGCCATGCCATATGCCGAAAAAAAAGTATGGAAAGGTCCTGGGGACATATTAGATTTGAAGAGAGATGATACCTACCCATGCGGAACATTTTGCTTTTTATTGCATTACTGAATGCCCCTCTTTGTTCTTGTCCAGATTGGGGAATTGCAGTAGAACAGAGCACATCAGGAAAGGCTGAGCGTTGGTGTTCAGAGTCTACAAGCGCTCAGTGATCTGTGTTCTAAGATCATGGTGGCTTGCATGGCGTCATTGAAAGTCATTGTGAGCCTTATCTGCTCAGGCACAGCAGGTGGCAGTAGGGAATTTAGCGACAGATGAGGACAAAAACTTCCTGGGGCTGAATAACGGTGAGTTTCTAATCATATTTTTGCTTTCATCTGGGGCTTGAATAGCTTTTCTGCCTGATAGTGATGAGCCCTATTCCTCAGTTGCCCTTTGCTTTTGCTAGCAATACCAATTTTAGATGTCGTACTTTTGTTTTATGAGGGTATTTCCCAAGGCTGTTTTAGGAGCGGACAAGGCTCTGCTTGTCGTAAGTGCAACCTGACAGTGGTGTTTTGAGTCAGCCTCTTCCTTTTCCTGTACCCTTGGCTGTTTCTCACCCTGGAGCGTCTTGGGCTTGGCTGGATTGAGGGGGCTGGTGGAAGACGTATTTGCCTTGCAGGTATAATTCCTCAGAGAATAAACCGTCTTTGAAACCACACACACATATATTTTACACATGTGGGCAACTGAAAGAAAATTAGGTTCTCATTGTTACATTTTAACATTGAGCAGTGATGGTAAGGAGAGTGGTCCTGATGAGAAGATATTTGTATTGTGGATATCTGTGGTTATGATTTAGCCTGTGGTATGTATGCTTTGCCAGTGTTTTCTCTTTTTGTGAGAAAACGTCACATCCATCTCAGGGAAGAAGTAGACCCATAACTCTTTGTGCCACATTTTATCCCCTACATGGTACCTACCATTATTATTAGTCTGAACACCTTACTCTTTCATGTGGAAAAGTGATGTGAAAAAGCAGAAAGATCTGGGATTAGAAAGCATGGACTTGGATCCTACTGCTCCTGCCTAACAGTATGGTAACCTTTCATCTCCCGCAGTTTCCTCATATTCAAAGCAGAAATTGGAGTATGAACCATAATGCTACCGTCTATCACAGATTTACATTACCACAGGTCGGGTACAGCTGCTAAGTAATTTACCTAAGTTTTCTCATTTAATCTTCCAGCATCTAGTGAGATCCTTTGCCTCTGGACTGGGAAGAGTTTTCCAAGCACAAAAGCCACTGACAGCATGACAGAGGAAGCAAGCTATTGACTTAACTACATAACATTTACGGTTGCAACTCAAAAGGACAAATACTCTACTATAAAATGTTTAAAATTCTCAGACCTTAGTAGAAAAATAAGCAAAGCTAGGAATAAGTAATTCAGAGAAAAGGAAGTACAGTCACTAAAACATTTAAATATTTACTCTAACTAGTAATCAAAGAAATTAAAATTTAGAAACATTACTTTTTGCCTATCAAATTTTTTAAAACCTTTTTTTTTAAGTGAAAATTTCAGTGTTAGCCAGGATGTAGTGAAAGCTGCACCCTCTTACATTGCTGGCGGGCGTGTGGATTGGAACAGCTTTTTTTGAGAGCAATGTGACAAAATGTGTCAAGAGCCTCAACAAATGTTCACACTCAGCTGATCTGCTAATTCCACTTCCAGGAACTAATCCTGAGGAAATAATCAGACATGTGGGCAAGCATTTATGTAAAGAGGCTAATTTCTGGCCGGGCACGGTGGCTTACGCTTGTAATCCCAGCACTTTGGGAGGCTGAGGCAGGCGGATCATCAGGTCAAGAGACTGAGACCATCCTGGCCGACATGGTGAAACCCCGTCTCTACTAAAAATACAAAAATTAGCTGAGCATAGTGACGCGAGCCTGTAGTCCCAGCTGCTTGGGAGGCTAAGGCAGGAGAATTGCTTGAACCTGGGAGGTGAAGGTTGCAGTGAGCCAAAGTGGCGCCACTGCACTCCAGCCTGGCGACAGAGCGAGACTGCATCTCACCAAAAAAAAAAAAAAGAGGCTAACTTCCATGTTATTTTTAATTTAACACAACCCAAATGGCTAACCATAGAGGGTAACTCCATAGGATGGAATGATATGCAACCATTAAAGATTGTATTTTTATTCCTTTCTGGCTTTTCTGGAGGAAAAATTTTTTAAAGATTTTAAAATTATGTTTTTAAAGAATTTGAAGTGATACAAGGGCAATTCTGAAAATATAATAAACAATATGATCTCAACTTTATAAAAAGGAAAATAATACACACATATGATAAAAACTAGGAGGAAATATACTAAAATGTTAGCAATCATCTCTCTCTAAGTGGTGGGATTATGGGTGATGTTTATATTCTTTATGCTTTTCTTGATTTGTTCAGTGGTGTCCAGAGACAGAGAAGGAGAGAGGGGGAAAGAGTGTATTATACAACAGTCGTCTTTAAACTGTTAATGAAGTATTCAGGTGTAAAGAACTGCAATTAATGTAAATGGAAATATTTGTAAGGCCTCTCCCAATATCTGTAGCTCTAGTTTATCAAGAAAGATAGACATGGAATCAAGGGTATATTCACACATTCATACCCTGGGATAAATGTTTTCTTTAAAGCCTGTTTTAGACCCTAGGCTAATGTCGGGCCAGCGTGTGTTGAACATTAATCCTTAACATTCATGTTGCTATCTACTGATTTTATATTTGGATATTCAGCTATACTCAACAGTCTTCTGCCTGTTGAAGACTTTGGTGAGAATCTCTTTTGTCTGTGATACGGATTGAGAAATAGGTTCACTGACTGTACAAAATCTGCCTGGCAGATACGGGGATTTGAAATGAACTTGTTTTAAATAAAGGTGTCAAGTGATGTGATTCTGTTTTGGCTGGACCATCCCAAGTGCCAGCCTTGCATATTCGGAAAGGTGGTTTGCCCTAATTAAGGTTCCAAGCAGTACAGTTGCAAGTGGTTTGTGAAATAAAAGGCATTCTTGTTTCCCTCTGTAACTTTATGGTTGCTTTCTTAAGGCTCGGTTTTATGCTAGCCCAGCAAAAAATAAGAACTATGAAAGCAGTCTTTCACATCTGTAAAAAAAAAAAAAAAAATCTGTATAAAAGTAGTCTTTCACTTTATGACTGTACTACAAACACACACACACACACACACATATGCTAGCTCCTAGTATGATGCAGTTTCATTGATACACACTAAAATGGGGTGCTATATATATAGACAGAGATAATCGCTAAGTGTGTACAGTTGAAAGAATGCTTACCTAGTATGATGCAGTTTCATTGATACACACTAAAATGGGGTGCTATATATATAGACAGAGATAATCGCTAAGTGTGTGCAGTTGAAAGAATGCTTATGGTGTCCAAGGATTAAAAAGTGTGAGAGAAAAGGAGAGTAGAGATGAGGTTTCTTCCAACTAGTTCTCAAACCTGTTGAAATTAAATATCTGGCACTAGAGCCTGGGGCATTCTAATGCAGCCTGTAGAAGCTGGATCTTCGGAACCACTGTCTTAGCTGTACTTTGCTGTCATGTATTTTATTCTGTGCTGTCTAGTACAATATCCACTAACCATCTGTGATGGTTGAGCTCTTGAAATGAGGTAGTGTGCCTGAGGAGCTGAATTTTTAATATTAATTAATTAATTCTTAAGTTGAAATGCAAATAGCCATATGAGACTAATAACTACCATATTAGACAGAGCAGCCTTAACCTATTGTATACTGTCCTTCACTTGGGAATGAAGTTATTTTCAGTGCGCCCTTCCAACAGGCTGTGCCTTTTGTCATTGTGACACAGCGATGCTCCAGAACCTCCTTCTGGGAGAATAAAGGCATCACCAAGCCTTTAGTAGCCACACCCAGTCACATGACCTGCATTTTGTAATATAATTTGCTCAGTGTGGTCTTCAAGCCGTCGCTCAGTGCATGAAATGTTACTTCTCAAAGCCTTTGTCATCTCACAAAACTAAAATTTCATCCTCAGCCCAGGATTTTTGACTCATGTTGTTTGTTTTTTTGTAGTAGTTTCATTTTTAACCAAGGAAATCATTTTTAATCTTCTCCCCTGTTGTTTAAAGGGTTTAAAAGTTCAGCATGGTGAGTTTTTATGGGGCATTTAATGAGAAGCCAAGCATTGTAAACATATCCAAAGGATCACAGTAGTGTAGTTTACCAAATCCTTTTCCTATGCACACTGACCTGACCTCCCTTCAAAATATGAAACAGATGGGCCCAGCTAGAATTCTCCAGCTATTCCAGACATTATTGTCAAGGTTTCTCACATTCTAAAACCTGGTGAGATGAGGCTTGCCCTTGAATGGAACCAAGAGTCCCTGACAAGACTGTACGCTGCATGGAGGCGGGTGCTATGTCTGTCTTGTCCTGGATTCTCTTCTGGCCTTATTGTGGCATCTGCCAGATCCCAGAGGCTGCATGTTGGTGAAGTGAATTACTGTTCTTGCCATAGAGAAAATGGGCTGGCTAAAGGGACATGTAAAGCAGAGAGAAGACAAGATCAGGGAAAGGGCACATTTGGGATCGAAGTGATTTGATTCAGGAGAAAGTACTTGCCCTCCACAACTTTACCTATACCTAGCAGGTAAGAAGAAGATTGCAGTGACAAATAATGTAGTTCTATCCTGGTGAAAATCATTGAGTACCATGATGGTGATTACTTAGACTAGAGATTAGAATGAGCTCTGAAGAATTGAAATTCAAGCCAGAGAGACTGGTAAAATTTCAGCTTTTAATAATTCAAATGCTCTTGTGCTGCAGCCTATTTATTTGTTTTTCATCTAATGTTACAGTTCTAAGAAACTTAACAAGTTAGACTGCCTGTGGTTGTGCTATATCTGCCCACTTATCAGCATTTTTTGTTTTCTTGAAATTTTAGGCACAGAAAAATGAGAGAGAGTCTATCAGACAGAAGTTGGCACTTGGAAGCTTCTTTGATGATGGCCCAGGAATTTATACCAGCTGTAGCAAAAGTGGGAAGCCAAGCCTTTCTTCCCGGTGAGTGTTCTTTTGAGTTGAATTTCTGATATGTACACAGTGGATTTTGTCACTTGATTATTCTAATAAAAAATGGCTTTTAAATCTTCCATAGGTTTTTTTTTTTCCCCTCGCATAATGGGTTTTAGACCCTTCCCCACTTGTTTGTTCGTTTCTTTGTTGTTGTTATTGTTGTTATTGGCTCATTGCCCAGCTACTTGAGGTCAGATTTTTATATTCCATTTTTTTTCTAGACACAATACTGATGTTGTACACTGATAGAGGAATCAAGCCACACTCCTAAGCAAGCTGACTTATGATTAGAGACATGTGGCAGACTACCAAATTTCCCATTAAGCAGTCACAGATCACCCAGAATCACCCCCCTGACACATTTGATTGCAATAAATACTCATAACTGAGAAATGCAATTCCCGCTTTGATCATTCAATGTTTATTACAGTTCTTAACCTGTCCTCCAGGTGGTTTTTCTTTATCTTAATTTATTTCAGGATATCATTACTCTTTATCATAATTTATTTCAGGATATTATTGGTCATTTGCATAGCTTCTAATTCCAAGTAAGACATATTTAAATTATAATTTTATCCAAAAAACAGTGCTATAGGCCAGAGTTTCTCAAACTTTAATGTGCTTATAAATCATCTGGGGATTTTGTTAAAATGAAGACTCTGATTCAGTAGATCTAGGTGAGGCTCAAGATCCTCCATTTCTGTGAAGCCTCAGCTGTGATATTCATGCTGCCATTCCATAGGTTACTTTGATTAGTGAAAGTACAGACAGTCTGCAAAGTTAGGCATTACAAATACGGGTATTCCAAGTGATGAAAGCACGTAGAACGTTTTTACTAAGATATAGTAACTGATGACCTATCGGCATTCTCATGGTCTCCACCTCACTCCTCAAATGTCTGTTTCCTCTCAGTCTTCCTTTGGGCTAAAAGCAAATATACTCTGTTAAAATACTCAGTTATTTTACCATCTTCAGCTAGGCGTTGGAAACAAATTATAGTATTTATGCATCCATTTAACCAACATATTTCTTCCATGTCTTCGTGTGAGGCCTGGAACTAGGCATTTTTAAAATATCTATCTGTATTCCATATGGCTTTCAGTAAGGCTTGTACTACTGTCTTATCCTGAGAGATTCTAAATCAGCAACAATCAGAAAGCAGACACATACTCACATATACACCTATTTGTGAGGCACTGCAGGCAGATCAGTACATCAAGACAAGAACGCCAGTTTCACCAGGCAGTGTTCCAGCATCTCTTCCTCAGCTGCGTGCCAGTTCTGTCTCAGAACATTCCCTTGTATTCCTACACATCCCTCCAGAACTGGATGGTCAGTCCTCCCCTTTCCCTTGGGAGCACCTCTTTCCCCTCCCAGTTAGATGTGGCAGAAGACGCTTTGGCCTAGGAACCTGGAGGTCTGAGGATTAGTCCTAGTACATTTCTAATTTTGAGACTTTAACAATTTACTTAGTTTTACCATGTCTCATTTTCTTCATTTTTGTGAAATGAGAGCATTGGACCATATCATCTTAATAGATCTCTGCCGCTGCACTCTGATATTTCCCAGAGTGCCAAAATTTCTTCTTTTAGAAGCCCAATCTGTCTGTTCAACAATGTCATATCCCTGTTACAAATGAGAGGTTTTGCTTTTGAAAATCAATGATATATATATACACACACACACACACACACACACACACACACACCTATGTACATATATATAACCCATATACATGTATATGTACATAGGTATATATGGATGTATACATATGTATATGTGTCTCCATGTGTGTGTATATATGTATACTCCAGGTATATTTATATTATCCTTGTCCCACTCTCCAGAAGTAATAACTTTTTACTTCTTAACTGTTTCTTCTGGTATTTACCTACATATCTCTAAATAAAATGCTTATCTTCTTAGTTTTTATTTTAACCATCAGACTATCTACTATAAAAAAAACAGTGATTTAGCTTTTTTTATAGCCCTCCCAAAGACTCTCATCTCTTCTATTCTTCCTTTAGAGTAATTTCATAATTTAGAGTCAAATAGCTATTTAATGTTTACATTATTAAGATTATGCATTATTCTCACTGAACCATGTAGTAAACTATGGTTACTTGAGAAATTTTATTTTTTTTGTCCTGAAATTAGAATTGCCTGCTTTTTCCCCATGTACTGCATTTGTATTCCAGTGTGTGAATATACCACAATTTATTTGGCCACTCTCCTGATAATGGGCACTGGATTGTTTCAAAGGTTTTGCTCTTGTGAACAATGCTACTTACAAACATTCTTGTACATGTCTTCTGCTGTACATATGCAAGCGTTTCTCTTTGGGGCATACCTAGGGGTGGAATTCCTAGGAATATACCTAGGAAAATACATGAACGTTTACACTTAGAATATAATGTCAAACTGTTTTCCAACATGGTTGCAACAAGTTATACTCCTGCCATCAATGTTTCAGAGATCCTGTGGATCCATAACATTGCTAACATTTGATATTGCCAATTTCTTTTAAGTTTTTGTGAATTGAATAGGTATAAAATTATTTTTATTTCGTATATTAGCCATATTTGTTTTCTCTTCTGTGAAGTATCTGTTTGGGTCCTATGCCAAATTGCTGTTGGATTCCTTATGCTTCTCTCATCGACTTATCGAAGTTCTTCAGTCATGATACTAATGCTTAATACATTGTATGTATTGCATATATCATCTCCCAAGTTGTAACTTGTTTTTCACTTTTTTAATATGTGTTTTATGACCATAAGTTATTAATTTTATGGGTTAATTTTATACTGAATTTTATCAAACTTTTCTAATCAATGGCTTTCTGTATCTTGTGTAAGAAATTTTCTTCTCCCCCAAGATCCAATAGACATTCATTAGACTTCCTACCAAGAGTTGAAAGTGTTGAGTTTTTAAAAGTCTGCAATCAATCAAAAATTGATTTCTTAATATGGGATGAAGAAGTCAAATTTGATCATTTTCCTTATAGATGACCATTTCTTTATCATATTTATTGAATAATCACTCTTTTACTCACTGATCTTATAGACTACTCCCTTGGATACTGCATATTAATGGAAATATATTCTATTTCATTATTGTTTCTATCTCAGCAGCAAAATATAGTCTTAATTACAATAGCTTCAAAATAAGTCCTGATATCTGGACAGGAAAGTTCTTTTTGTTATTCTTTTTCTTCAGAAGTATGCTGCCCGTTATGGCTTTTTTTATTCCTCTACATAAACTTTAAATAATATAATCAAGTTTAATAAAATACTCTCTTGGAATTTTGAATGTAATTGCGTTGATTCTATAGACCAATTTAGGAAGCATTACATTTTCACATTGTCTTTCTATCCATGAATATGGTCTGTCTCTCCATTTATTTAGATCTTATTAGATATTTCTTAATAAGGTTTTATAATTTCCCATTTAGACATATTACACATCCCTTGTTATATTTATTTCTAGATATTTGCTATTCTGATATCTTAAATTCTCTTCGGTAATGCTTTCTCATTTGCTGCTGGTGAACAGAAATGCAATGAACTTTGTATACTAGTGTTATATCCAGCCACTTTGTTATTGCTTCTATCACTTCTCCACTCTCCTATTATTTCTAATAAAGTTGTCTGTAGATTCCCTGGGATTTTTGAACAATGATATCATCTACAAATAATGGCAGCTTTATTTCTTCATTTCCAATTCTCATGCTCCTGGTTTCTTTCTTTGTCTTATTGGATTAGGTAGGCCCCTAACACAGTGAGGATTAGAAATAGTAGTAGTTGGAATCCTTAGGTAATTTCTCATATTAAATGAAATGTTTCTACTGTTTTCCCATTTCAGATTATGTTAATTTTATGTTTTCTTTAATGATTCTCTTTATGAGATGATATTCCCTTCCAGTTATAACTTACAAAGAATTTTTATCATGAATGGGTATTTAACTTTATCACATGCTTTTTCTTCATCTGTTGAGGTGAAGAAAAAGTACAATTTCATTCTGTTAAACTATTGTATGAATTAACGAATTACATTTATAGATTTTCAAAATATTAAACTGTGCTAGCATACCCAGTCTAAACCTAAACTGGTTAGGGAGTATTATATTTTTTCAGATACTGTTGGAGTATTATATTTTTTCAGATACTAATATTATAAATAAAATCTGAGTAAATAAATTATAAATAATTTTAATATTTTATTTATAACATTTTGTTTAGTATTGTTAGGTTTATATTCATGATTGACATGGATGTATTGTATTCTTTTCTTCTGATATTTTTGTTTGGTTTTAGTATCAGGGTCCTGCTGGCTTAAAAATGGATTGGGAACTATTCTCTTTCATATTGTCTAAGAAAAGTTTACGTAGTATTTTTATGATCTGTTTCTATAAAGTTTGGCAGGACTCATTTCTCTCTGGGCCTGGTGTTTACTTTGTGTATTTGCTTTAACAACAGCTTCCATTTCTTAAGTGGTTATAATATTATACATACTTTTTATTTCCTCAGATCAGTTTGATGAGTTGTATTTTTCTAGGAATATGTCCATGTTGTTTGTTTTCAAAATTGTTGGCATATTTTCTCATTTCACTAAAAATATTAATTTTAATGAAATTGTTTAAAATGTTTTCTTCTGATCTGTTGTCCATCATGACTTTCTGAGTTTATTTTTTGTTTGTTTTGCTTTCTGCCCACCAATAACTAAGTATAAGACACTAAAAGCTGTTTATAAACTGTGGTTGGTGCTAGTTGGCATCCGTCATCTGCTTAGAGAGCTCTTCCCTGACCACCCTGTTAAAAGTAAACACTCTCATACCCATCACTTTGTCCTGTCTTATCCTGCTTATCTTCTTATCCTGATTTGTTGGTATGTGTGGGGGGTGGGAGAGAAGGGGGGTGCTTATTACTACCTGACATTGTAGTGTGTATACTTTGTTCTGTCTTTCTCTAGCTCTAAAATATAAGCTCTAA